GGCCCTCAGCTCATATCTGGCATACTCCAGGGTTTATTGGCTACAGAACCGGACAGTGCAACCTCTACCCAACCCACACAACATGTCGACATGTAACTGATAAATACACATACAAACAATCAGACAATATCACAGGTAGTCCTATAGATCTACCAAACTTGCATATCAAACTAGCATGCATATCTAACTCGTACTCAGCATATCAATAACTATTAGGATATCAATCCAATGGGCCGGACTTGGTGCCTTCGACCCCTAAGTATAGTGAGGAAAACTCACCTCACAAGTAGTGCTGAACCGGTAATATCAATCCCAACTCACAGCTCCAACTCACTTGCCTACAATCACCAATGACTACTTCATTAAAATCTGAAAATACCCTCAAAAGTCAAACTTGGTCAACCATGGTCAAGTCAAAGTTAACAGTCAAGGTCAATAATCAAGGTTAACAGTCCTTGTTGACCCAACTCGTCGAGTGCATCTACCGACTCGTTGAGTTCCTTCATATCTCAGAAAATCATGAAAAGCTCGAGACAACTCCCCGAGTCACCAGAGCAACTCGTCGAGTTCTTCAGGATCTAGAAAGCGGGAAAACCCGATTCAACTAGTCGAGTTGGCTAAGCAACTCATCGATTTGTCCTAGTCTTAATACACTCAGTCGCTTTCCAAGCGAGTCTAATGCTCCAAACTATAGATCTGGTCCCCTAGGGTTGAGATACCACGTAAAGCTATAAGCTTTACGTCCATACATGGCATCAAGGGGCTAAAACACTAAAATCAAGCTTATTAAGGGACTTAGAGCATGAAGGAGGGCCAAAACTTGATAAAGTAGGCGACTTTAAGTCAATGGAGGCCATGAAATGTCCATATCTGAAGTTATAGCTTCATAACATGCTCAAATCCCAAATCGGGCTAATAATGGCCATAAACTTTCAAATGAAGAGAGGTAGCAAAGGGATGGTCAAGGTATCAACTTTATACCTTAGAATTACTGCAACAAAAATGAAAATCCCGGATCTAAAGCTTCTCCCTTCAACTTTGCACCACCAACTTCAATCTCCTTCAAGAAAAGCACCAAAGAACACTCTTTAAGCTCACACACACTCAAAATGGGGAAAGAGGCACGATTAGGGTTTTCTCTGGACTGATGGGACGGCGAGGGAGGCTAACAATGGGTCATAAGGTCTTTAAATAGGGTGCAAAACCCTGAAAATTAGGGTTTCATGTTCAGCCCTCAACTAGTCGAGTTAGGGCCTTCCAACTCGTCGAGTAGACCTTAAAGATACGCGACAATTTAAAACTCTACACGACGAGTTGGACCCTCCCAACCCGTCAAGTTTCCCTTAAAATGAGTATATATTAAGCTTTAAATTCATACCTGGGAATCGGGGTGTTACAAAAAGCAATCTCATCGAAATTGTTGTTTTGATATCTGGTGGCGATGGTGTTGAAGAACATTGTAGTATGACTAACCCAACGACAATGAGAAAATATGGGATAAATCGAAACCTGCAATGATGTCTAAAATCGAAACTAGCCCTAGTTTGAAATTCGAGTTTTTATTCGTCACGAGTGAATCTGTGAATGGCACCGACGAGGATGAAGGGTATCGATAGAGGTGCATCGATGATGATGGAGGTCTCCAGTGAGGATTAAGGGTGAGAGAAGGTTAATGGTGCCGGAGGTGAAAGATTATTGCAAAAAATTGCCAACGAACGAGGATTCTTGAAGGGCGACTGCGATGGCTCTATGGTCTTGTGATTTAGGGTGCTGACGGTGAAATTTTTTCTCTTACACACGTCTCCTCCTCATTTGTATATATGTTACACACTAGCGGCAAAGCAGAATGAATGTGGGTATTGTTTCCATCGGAGGTGATTTCCAGCAAGAAGGTAGTTCCCGACGGCAAGGTGTGGGGTGATGCCTTATGGAGTCGACGATATTATCAGGGAAGATGAACGAAGGAATGAGGATGAAGGGGAATAGGGATGAAAAGATAGGACGACGTGCATATATTTTCTTATTTAATTTTAGTTTTTTTTACTTGTTTTAATTTATGTTTTAATTATAAAAAATAGATAAATAATAAAAAAAGTTAATGATAAGGGTAATTTGGTTATTTTATATCTATTGGGGACGAAACGCTTGACAAAAACAAACTATATGTATGATCCGAGTTAAAAAAGGTTGTTAGGAACCAAACGTGCAAATTACTCCAAACCAAGTATTCGTGTAGTTTACCCTATTGTTTTTTTTATCTATGTCTATTATAGTTTATTATTTAATTAGCATGTGCAAACTTACAATAATTCTTATTCATGTATAAATTGCTTGTGCTTTTTGTGGAATGCAACAAACATATGATTGTAACAGTCAATGGTATTGTTATTGAGTTTTTAGATTTAGAAAAAGAATATTAAAAAAGTAGTAAAAAGACCCGATTTCATATTACAAAAATGGCTATATAATCAAATAAGATTGGACTTAAAACTACATATTAGAACCCAGTCGGATACATAGAACGGGGCAAAATAATGGTACAAAAGAGGTCGGACTTGAAAGAAAAAACCCGGTTTTTTTAGAACCGGGTTTTATTTATTTTTCCACATAAGACTTGCTGGCCATAAGACCCGGTTGAAAACCAGGTTGTATTAATTGATTAAACCGAGTCTTATAAGCCTTTTTGTAATAGTTACAAATAAAAGACCAAAATGTCTTGCCATTGTGGATACAAAAATTTAAGTATATTGTCTATATTGATAAAAATAAAGTATGTTTCTTTGTTAAGAATAAGGGAAATCTCCAGAAAAGTCCCAAAATTTTAGTCCAGTTTATGATAAAGTCCCAAACTAAATTTTGTTTACAGAAAAGCATAGAATACCGGTTAAAACTTCGAAAAAACCCTTTTTGGCCGGTTTTGCATGTTTAGCCGGTATTCTGTCTTTTTTCGTTAGTTTGCTTAAAATTTTGGGACTTTTCCGGAAACTACCTGATAACCAAAATATTGGGACTTTTCTGAAAATTACCATGAAATTAATGGATATTATTATTAACAAATCATTTATAAACATAACAAATATTTTTATTATAAAAAAAAATACACTTGTTGCTAATTTGATGGTTGTTACCGAATAATGTATGGACGTTACGTGGTATTTACGTTAAAGAACAAAATGAAAGATCTATACGTTCAAGAATCATTATGTAATGATATTTTCTAATAACATGTGATCCTATAGCGTCACACCTAATAGAAAGTAGACACTTATTGATTGTGTATTAATAAATATTATCAACTCTTGTATTTAATTGAAGAAACGTACATAGTACATCTCAATATGACACCCACAACGATACATAAGAGGAACATAAAGAGTTTGAAGTGGTCAACAAACAATCGACCATGTCGACCATTCTATTCTTAGAAATTAGAAACTAATGTATTTCCTTTGTTTATAATAAAAAATATTTGTTATGTTTATAAATGATTTGTTAATAATAACATCCATTAATTCCATAGTAATTTTCAGAAAAGTCCTAATATTTTGGTTATCGGGTAATTTTCAAAAAAGTCCTAATATTTTGAGCAAACTAACGAAAAATGACAGAATACCGGCTAAATCTACGAAACCGGCCAAAAAGGGTTTTTTTTTCGAAGTTTTAGCCGGTAGTCTGTTCTTTTCTATAAACAAAATTTAGTTTGAGACTTTTTCATAAATTGGACTAAAATTTTTAGGACTTTTTTGGAGATTTCCCTAAGAATAATATACGTTGCAACTCTAATGGATAGAAATTGTTATTGTATAAATTTGTTTTATCATTCATATATGTATACTAATTATATATGCTTCTTTTAATTTTTTTGGTTATTAGAGCTGCAAATGGAAATGAAAATAAAAGAAAGAGTAAAATAAGATATACAAACCCAATGAAAATTGAACCAAAAACACGAAAAATCTACAAGCACAAATAACAAAACTTATGACATCAATGAGTAAACCTCCCGACAACCCCCTATTCTATGTCTGTCGTAGGATGAGATTTAAAACTGAAAAATCGGATCAGAAACGAAACCGTTAGAACTAGAATATATTGAACCAGTTTCGGTTATGGGTTTAAAAATTTGCATTATATAGGTTCCGGGTAGTCTGGAAGTGGGTCCATTGGGTCTGGATAAACTGGGTCTAAGAAATGGAACCGGTGTTAGGAACCGGAACCATTTTTAGGGGCCGAAACCGTTTTCTGTGAAACGTTTAAAACATACATATCTCATTCGTTTTAAGTCGGATTGACATACGGTTTTTTTAACATATACTTTAGAGTTTGTACATGATTTTAGACAATAAATTTGTCATTTTTAGTTTTATATTCATTGATTTACAGTCCCCAAATTCAAGATATCAAAGTGGAAGTTTTTAGTTCTTCAGTTTTTTTGTAGTCTGTGAATGTTTTAAAACATGCATATCTAATTCGTTTGAAGTCGGATTGACATGCAGTTTTTCTGAACTTGTAGTTTAGAGTTTGTACACGATTTTAGACTATAATATTGTCATTTTTGGATTAACATTAAATGAATTACAGTCCCCCGAAGTCATATCAAAACTGAAAATTTTCAACTTTTCAACTATTTGCTTTTGTATTTTGTATTCTGTGAAAACATTAACACATACATATCTTATTCGTTAAAGTCGGATTGACATGTAGTTTTTTCCAGAATGTAGTTTAGAGTTTGTACATGATTTTAGACTACAATACTGACATCCGTAATATGTTATTAAAGAAGGCATGTCGCAAAGTGTCATGTAAACTCTTCAGTTGTAAAAGTTTACGGTTGGTTGGAAACATTTTATAGACGCCTTTTTGCATGAAGGAACTTTTTTATCGGATTTTTGTTAGTAATTTGTGATGGATTAACTATGGAACTAGCTGCCGAGCCTAGAATTAATTTGGGTATTGGTCTATTAAGTTTATATCAAATAGTTTCGAAATAAAACTCTGTACTACAATAAAAAGGGATTAAAGAAAAGAAACTTGATATTACATTTTTCGGCGAAGAATCCAACACTTATGAACATAAACGATTTTCGTATACATAATCACACCTTAACTCTTAAGTACAATTTTGTTGATTGTAAATGGGACAATGAACATACATATTTCCTTTCGAAAGCCCGAAACTAGCGACATGACGACTTCATTTACACACTTCACAAAAGAAATACACGGTTCCATAAACCAACATAATATATTATCACGTACCTTACAATATCATACATAAAACCACGTCACCATACACATCGATGCCAATCATTCTTCCGCCACAATTTCTGCCTCTTCCCCAGGAACCTCTGGCTCCGCAGCTTCTTCTCCTCCAGCAACATCCGCAGCTTCTTCTCCTCCAGCAACCTCCGCTGGTTCAGCTTCAGGGATGGTGAATACCTTTGCAATCTTCTCGGTGGGCACCAATGGTAGGAATGAAGAAACCTTGTACCCTTCTTCTGCTGTTTGCTGCACAGTCTCGTTGTACTTTTCAGCAACGAAAGCGGCTGCTGGTGCAAAAGCGTTAATGACTTTAGTGACAAGGGGGATGCGACTAAGAGTTTCCCAAGCTGAAGAAGCATATTCCTCAGCAACTGGCTCGACTTTTACCAACAGTTCTTTGGCGGTTTCCACCAAACCATTATTCTTGACGTCGGAGACCACCTCAGTTGAGAAGCTTTTGGCTGTAGTTGTTGCGTCCTTCACAGCAGAAGGAAGTACCTCGTCAACCTGAAATCACGTCACAAGAAGATCATTATCTATACAATGCGAAAGAACATATTCTTTTGATCTTTTCCTTGTGTTTGGCATGTGAAAAAAACATAACATGTTGTACTGAATCTGAAGAAGATTAGCTTGATAGATTGCAGAGGAAAGAGGAAGAAAAGCTGACCTTACGATCAACAAACTTGAGGACCTCACCAGGGACATCTTGGAACTTATCAATAGCAGGGCCAACAACACTCTTGACAGTAGTCTCTATCGTCTCAACGCCAGGTAGAGTACCAACTTTATCCTTTACATAATCGTATACTTTTGATGCAATACCAACTACTTGCTGTACTGCATCTTCGACAAAGTCCAGGTGCTTCAGCTTCTCTTCTTCGCTCTGAACCTTTTGCATGAAAACAAGAAACATTAACCGAATCAATTCTTTACTCATCATGTTATATTTCTTGTTGAGAAACATGTTTCAGTTTCAGAAATCAGCGGTGGATTATATTACACAGGTGACCTATCTGATTGGTATTAAACTATTTTCTGGAAATTGAGACGAATTATAACTGGGCTATTGAGAAGCTTTACATAGTCCTTGCAAGACTTTTATTCATCATATAGGTTTGCTGTTGATTTTGATAGGATCAAAAGAACCCAAAAAATCTCTAACAACATTTTTAAACTGCTATCAACAAATTTCAGCAAAACGGCTTTCGCCATAGCTTTTGTAAATCATAGTTATGTTCTATGAAATAAATCAAGAATACAAACACAAAATTATGTTTTCAAAAACATAAATACAATATAACGTCAACGAACCTCTGGTTCATCGGTAACAGAAGCATCAGCTAGGCTCATGATCAAGATGAATGTTGTTCAATTTGTACTTGTCTATCAATAGCTGATGGTTAAGTGATGGATCGATATTTATAGAGTGGGTTGCAGGGGGAAGGTATAATTTGCTACAAAAGCAGAAAGTTTAAATGTACAAACTGTGGGTCCAGATTGACAGTAATTAATTGGTTGCACTTGGGCCCTCATTCTATTTTTATCTTTTTTGCGTAAAATGATCGCCATACATTGTAAATGGTCTGTCGAATATCAAAGGGAAAGTGACTTAACAGCTAATCTCTCATTGAACTTTATTTATTTATTTATTATTATTATTTTAAAATTTTATTATTTAATTTGTTAAATATGTTTATATATTTTATTATCACCGAAAATTTCAGAAAATAATAATAACATATGAATACATTTAACAAATTAAATTGTCAAATGTATACAATAAAACATAAATTTTTTAAATATGAACAAAACGAAAATTTAATTATCATAATAAGTCATTTTTCCCACTTTTAATTCGATTTTATTTTTTATATTTGATGGTATTATTTTTCCAAACATTATTTTTAAAGGATCAATAATGATTGATTATTTATCTATTTATAGTCTTCTGATTTTGACAAATCAATTTTCTATTAACTTATTTTTACCAAAACTTTACTATCATAAATATTAATTAAATATTGATAAATTCTAAACTAATCTTTTAATTAATAAATATTTTTTGTGAAAATATTTTATATAGCTTCGTATATATATATTTTTTCTGTTTTTAAGCATTTGTAGTATTTTTAAAGTAATATTATCTAACAATAAAATAAAATTAATTAAATATGTAATAATAAGTATGGAAGGTTTTTTTAAAAAACTAATAAAAAAGAAAATATTATATAGCAAATGATATATATATATATATATATATATATATATATATATATATATATATATATATATATATATATATATATATAAGTTAAATGTTTTAAAATTTTAACTACTTTTGTATACTTTTTAGTTAGAAGTTTTTTAACTTTTTAATTTTTTTTAATACGAGGTTCTAAACTAGTATATTTTGAAAGTGTTTTAAATGTTATAAAAAATATTAAATTTTCATACAAAATCTATGAAACGTTTTAAAAATGTTGTAAAAGAAAGTTTAGAAATATTTATATGAAAGTTATAAAAAAACTATGATAATGTTAAAATATAAATAAAATAAAAGCTTGTAAGAAAAAATTAAAACATTTAGATAAAAAATGGTGTAAAAGTAAGTGTATGAAAATTATATGAAAATATAAAAAAAAATTATAAGCAAAGTTTAAAACATTATATTAGAAAAAACTATATAAAAAATATGATAAAAATATTACAAGAAGTTATAAAAAGTCTTAAGAAATTTGTAAAAAAATTGTTCATATTTCGACAATTTTTTTTATACAAATTTAACTATTTTATTTATTAAATGTGTTCACATTTTACCATTGTCACCTGAGATAACTGAGATAACAATGGTAATATATGAACACATTTAACAAGTTAAGTAGTCAAATATATATAAAAAATTGTCTAAACAAGAACAAGACGAAATGATAATTAGACAAATCATTTTTTTAATATCAAAACAATAACCTAACTAGATAGTATGGGTTAATTACAAATATTACCAAGAGTATTAGCGTTCAACAATTTGTATTATTTAGTAAATTAGATTATTTAATTACAAATATTACCGAGAGTATTAGCGTTTAACACTTTGTATAATTTAGCAAAGAGTAAATTACACGAATGGTCCCTATGGGTTAGGGTAATTTATGCACTAGGTCCCTAACTTATTCTTTTAACTCAGGAGGTCCCTACTATTTGTTTTTTTATGCGCTTAGTCCCTACTGTTTGCTTTTGTTACACATTTGGTCACTTTCTTACATAAAAAGACTATTATTTCAATATGGAAAAATTATGGGGTAGGTAAGGTAAGGTGAGGGGTTGGATTGGGGTGTGTTTATTTAAAAAATTAAAAAATCAAGGGCAAAACGGTCTTTTTAGGTAAGACAGGGACCAAACGCGTAACAAAAAAAACATTAGGGACCTTCCGAGTTAAAAAAATAAGTTAGGGACCAAACACGCAAATTACCCTAAACCATAGGGACCATTCGTGTAATTTACTCTTTAGCAATTTAGATTAGCAAATTACCTTACATGGTTAGAAATAAAAAAGCTTTACAAAAGATCTAATACGAATCAGGTAGTGATAAACACTTGAGAAATAAAAGTTATTCCCCAAAAGTTCTAACCCTACCCTAGAACATAAGCCGCCCTAGATAAGCATCTATCTCCCGAAGCGTGTCATCATATAGAGGACAAACTCCTACAACTAATCCAGGATGTAACGTCGCTCCTGTGCGGCAACAACCGCCTGATGTCGGGCTGCAGCAGCCTCGCTCTCAAGGATCTGTATCCTGTAGTCTTGTGATCTAAGGCGAGCACTCATGGCATTCGCCTCGGTGCAGTTAGCACCAGAACGATGATATAAAGTCTGGATAGCATCGGTATCCTCCTTCTTCCCTTCCTCGAGCGTCTCAACTCGGTGCCCAAGGAAAGTAGAGCCAGAGTGTCTGAAAAAACTCTCCAGGGTATCGCGTCGTTCTCAGGCTCATCCCTGAGTGGTGCTCGTGAAGATTCACCAATCTTGAATTGTGGTGGCAGATCAGTAATATTCCTCTTGCAGAAGAGGTCTCTGAGCGAATATGGCCCACTGGGTCTGGTATGTTTCCTTAACCGACCACTAGTGGGTAGGGAAACATGTACGGCTAGGTCCAACTGGTAAATAGGAGAAGCACTCGGCCATGGGCTCCTCCTCAGCCAGGGACCCTTGCCGTGAAGGAGGTACGGCTGATAGTGGGGTCTAGGTGGAGAGACTGGTGGGGTAGGAGGGGCAGGTTTTGTAGCGCCCGTAGATTCGGGATAGTCAATTTAGATATAATAAGCGTTAAAAATGACTTTTTGATAGAAGATTATTTATCATAAATAATCTTAACCAAAGTTATAGTATATGTCACAACGATTTCGTATATATAAAGAACGCTGAAATTTGACTTAAAACAAAGAAGTTATGACCCGTCGAAGTTTTGCGACAAAACCTGCACGATGCTGTGTATCGTAAAAACTGAGTTTGCGATAAAATAATTTTTAGCCTTAGCGATCTAAACGAAAGTTATAGTATATGTTAAACTGAGTGTGCATATAAAGAACGTCCAAATCTGACTTCGCTAGAGGAAGTTATGATTTTTCTAAGGTTTGGCATAGCAGTATGCCAACCCGGAAATTGAATTTTAGATCATCGATTTTTATCCGGCACAACCTAAATGAGAATTGAACATCTCATTAATAGGAGCTCAACGATATAAAGACAAACGAAAATAGACGTCGGATGACAAAGTAATGAATTTTTAATGGACTTTAACTGGCTAAGCCTTTTAATATATAACTTTAAAAATAAAATTCAAAATTAGCCGACAGAGTCTAAACGAAAGTTGTAGATCACGTCGCTACCTACACGTGGATATAAAGAATGTCAAAAACGAAGCTCGTATGCGAAAGTTACGGAATTTAGAAGATAATTAAATTATGGGTTAAGATGCGAGGCTGATACGTGGCACAATCTCAACCTCACCTTCTTCCCCCACGGCTTTGCATACGATGCTGACATGTGTCGCCGGTATGCCCAGCGTAGGGCTTGGTACGCCCAACATACGTCAGAATTACGCCCAGCGTAATGAAATTCCCTAGCTTATAAATAGAGGTGAAAATCTCTCATTTTCTTCACACCATTCTTATCCCACTCTCTCCCAATACCCCCAAACCCTATCTTCCATTCCCTAGCACTTCGTAAGTGTTAGAGGTGAGTCCCGGAGCGCCATAAGGCCCCGAGAAGAAGACCCATCGGCTCAGAGGTTCTGCCCGCACAGAGCCCGGTTCCTCGCTAAACTCCCTTGTAAGTGAGTTATGTTTACCCTACTTTAAGTATAACTTATGTTTAAGTTCATTATCGTTATTATGAACCTAATTGATCTACTTACGGGGATGATGTCTAGGTAGTGATTTAATGAGGTGTTTAAAGTTGGATTTCCAAACAGTATACTTCGTATACCAAACGGACCCTACCTCCGATATGATCTTACCTAGTTGTTCCTTACTTGATATATCGTGAAGTAGACTTGGAGTTAATGATAAATCTAGACTAATAATTAGTCGCATTAAATATTAGACTAAAACTTAGTAATAATAATGCTTCTCATATAACTGTGGATGGGGACACATTATTAGTGATAGGACACTAGTAAATCTGGATGAACCAGCTAACCACAAGGAAGAAATGGTAGGCCATGAGGCTACGAAATGGAAAGAGGGAATGTATAACGAGATCCAATGCATGTTTGATAACAAAGTATGGACCTTGGTTAATCATACCCCCATTTGGAATATGATGGTTTTTAAATGGATCTTCAAGAAGAAGACATACATGGATGGTCATGTATAGATGTTCAAATCCAAATTGGTTGTGAAAGGCATTACTCAAACCCAATGGGCTAAACACCTTTTCACCAGTTTCCTATATCAATTTGATTAGGATAATGTTTGCCATAGATTCATCTCATGATTATGAAGTATGGCAAATGGATGTTAAAATCGCCTTTCTTAATGGGAAGCTGGCTAAGGATGTTTACATGGCTTAGCCAGAAGGTTCTGAACATGCCAAAGGACTACATTACCCATGTACATTTATTTTTATTAATTTAGTATTTATAGGTTATTTATTTATTAAAAAATCTTTGATAATCAGTTGGGTCCCACCACCCCATTCCTATTCCACCCCACCTATCCCTTCGTCACCCTCTTCTTCCTTTCTTTACTCCAACCTTATCGTCTTCTCCGACGACAATACTACAACCAAATTTGAACATTAAACCTATCGTCTTCACAAATGCATAAAAGAAAGATATAAACAAGATTTATTAGTGATTCCAAGTCGTTATACTAATTGATCTACTTACGGGGATGATGTCTA